AGATATATGATTGAAATCATGAGTCAGTTGAAGCTAGACCACCATTGAAAACTGGAAGCATTGGACGGCCGTTTCGTCCTAGTATGGGACTCCTCAGCAGTGCGCATCCACGATTGGTTGACGTTACACATTAACACCATTGGATGCCGGCTCAGTGGTCTAATGGTTAAGTGCTCGCGCACTTGAAGCCAGTAGGCCCTGGGTTCGAATCCCGCGGGGTGCGGGATCGTGAATGCGCACTGCTCAGGAGTCCCATACTAGGACGAAACGGTCGTCCAGTGCTTCCAGGTTTTCAATGGTGGTCTAGCTTCGATTGACTCATGATTTCAACCTGTGAAAATTTCTAAAACCTCCACAAACCCCTTCTGACAAGATATATGAGTTGAAATGTGCAGTAGCACATTACTGAAATCCATCTGGATTGTATCCAACTATTGATTGTAATAAGTTCAGAGGATCGTAGGGAATGATGAAGCCTAAGTAGTTATATCTTTTTGTCATCAAATAATATTATATAAAAGCCATAAATGATCTGTATTCATAGAATGTAGAATGCTTCCAAATGTCATTGATAAATCAATCATTTCTGATATTACATTTCATATGACTGTTAACTATTTGTGATCCGTTCCAAAGTTGAGTATGGATTTTGTGAGTTAAAGTAAATGCTAAACCAATAAATATTATCTACATTCATTTGATGTTTTTTTTTTGCTTATATCTTCCCAATGTTGTTTATGATTGCAATTGATCAGTCTCTTATTGGCATATATACATCCTGTTCGAATTTTCCTCGATATTGCCTTAAGTCACAAGCTTTATAGGCAAAGATGAATAGTGACATAGTGGCGGTGGGATCCAGAACACGGGTTTCGTTTTATTTGGGACTCACCAGCTGGATGAGTCACAAATTTCAGAATTGATATTCACTTTGGGGCTTGAACACAATATCGCTCGCTTCAAACGCCATCGCACTACTCACTTAGTTACTGAGTATTGATAACCAATTGCTTGTGCAATGGGTTGAAGTTTAAATTCAATTGATATTGTTTACTTGAAACGTTTATACATTATTTGATTCTAACAAGTTTAGTTGATATGCCAATAGATCAGTAATGAATGTGAGTAAACACATCGATAAGGATACATAAGGGTACGTATATAGACCTCATGGAAAATATATATGACGAGATAAAAAGAAAACAAACCGCTAAGCTAGTCAAGTAACTAAGGTATTTATTTGTTTTGTTTTTTTTAAGTGTTCGTAATAGCAAGTTTAATTTTAGCTTATATTCACTATGAGCCAATGAACTTGAGGTGGTCATTCAATAAAGTTAGACATTAGCTAGCAGTACAATTCAGAACGTACGTTTCATTCTATGTGGTACTTATTACCCAGCTTTACCTGTATGCATTACTTGTTACTATTCAACTTTAATAAAAACATGCGACTAAATGATATAATCAATGCAATACGAGAATGGATGTTTGAATACACCTATTTTGTACACGCAATAATCTAAGACAGACAATCAGAAGGATGAAGCGAAGGAAACGAAGAGAAGAAAGAGAGGAACAAAATGATGCGCAGTGAAGAAGGCATGTAGGTCAACTTCATTTAATCAAGCGGTAATCAATATTTAGTCACACAATAATAAGCTACAGATATATGATAGGTAGGATAAGAAGTGTACACACATATCCACTCATATATAGAAACAATCAAGGTTGATAAGTGAATAATGAATAAGGTCTAAATGTGACTACTCAAAAAGAATAGATAAATTGACTTGTCCAGAAGGTAGAATACGATAATTTGGGTTTCACATTAGTAACCAATACTACAATCAGCATATTATTGTTGTTGTAAAACATTGAACACATTAGAGAAAGACTAACAATCTAATTGTATTTACAAAATAAAATATACAGATTAAGGTATAATATTTATCAAACTAAACATTTAACCAAATCATAATCAAAACAAATTAACAGCTTGTGAATGAGAGGATAATTTATGGACGACGCTTGAGCAACGCTAGACTATCTTTATGAGTGTCCACCTACTAACTAGGTTTAAATGAGGATTAAAAACCAGTGTGTGAGGAATTCAAATTATGATTTACAGTTGATAATTAAGGTTAGGAATTACATTTAGAGTTTTCATCATGAAAATGACATCAGCTACAATGCTAAAACTCTTTTTAGCCAAATGAATGAGTGAACTTCGCACCAACATCCAAGATCTGTTACCTTATATCTGATTGGTTCGTCCATAAATTAGAATCTTGCCAGCTTCTGTGTAATTACCAAGAAATCTAAGACAACAGTTTAGGGGTTGTGAATATTGTTAAGTTTTTGATTGAAATCATGAACCGATTGATGTTAGACCACCATTGAAAACCTAAATGCACTGGATGACCGTTTTGTTCTATTGTGAGACTCCTCAGTAATGTGCATCCACGATCCCACTCGTGGGATTCAAACCCAGGTCTTTCAATCTCATGCGTGAATGCTTAACCTACTAGACCACTGAGTTGGCCGGCATCCTATGGTGTTAATGTCTAACCTCAACCAATCCATGAAGTTGCACGACCATCTTCCATTTTACTGAGGTACATACTTGTAGATCTCTACCCGACACGGATTAGCTCCACTTGTCACACCTTCTCACTAGAACATCGAGAACTTTCTCACGACGCTAGTCACCCTAGTGAGCACATGATGATGATCAGTTTAGTTCATATCATCTCTTATTGATAGATCTACATATTACAAGATCAGATCATAAAATTAAATATTGATCATATAAAATTGAATTCAAATGATTGAAATTAAAAAAAGATGAATGATTCAAACAAAATGTGACCTAATTGAAACATTTACATTACAATTAAATGAAAAGAAATGACATGCTGTTTTATACAGTCAATCCATTGATTCAATCTCTATATATACAATCTATTAACCACTTGTCTATTATCTTTGTCACAATTTCATCACTTAATATACATCAATATTGAAGAGATTTGATTGACTTATTATATATATAAAGTTGAGAATAAATGTTCTCTTGGTAAATTCTTATTTTGATGAAACTATTATGAGTATTAAATAAACGATTTCAAAAAAGGGTTTACATGGATATTATTAGTGAGTTTAATCGTTGAGAATATGAGTCAATTGAAGCTAGATCACTATGGAGAACTTGAAAGTACTGGATGATTATTTCGTTGTAGTATGGGATTCCTCAGTAGTGTGCATCCACGATCCCAGTCCAAGAGATTCGAACCAACGATCTACCAGTCTTACACGCGAACGCTTAACCACTACATCACTGACCCGTCGTACAATGGTGTTAATGTCTAACTTCAACCAATCCACGTCCCATACTGCGACGAAACGGTCATCCAGTGCTTCCAGGTTTACTATGATGGTCTAGCTTCGATTGACTCATGAATTAAACTATTAAGTAACGAAATATCAATCAAACCATTTGTTTACATTTTCTGTAAAGCTATCAATTTAAAATTGATTTGAACACCTAAAAATGTTCTGTAGGACCTTTAATTTTATTCACAAATACATAACTAAAGAAGAAAGAAACTTTCATAAAACCTTATTTGTGAATTGCTTCGATGCTGCCATTGAGTTTAAAACATTCTAAGCAAAAATCGATAGGAGTTAACAATGGAGTCCAGGGAGTACTGGACGCATAACATGATAGAGTTTTAATCAGAAGGTACTGGATTTGAGTCATAAAGTGATTATCAACTCTGGAATTCAGGTACATGTGGCTAACCAGTCTTACATAAGACGAAACGCTTGTCCTAGATTCCACTAGTAGTCATCATACATTTCAGATTATTTATGTTAGAGTAAAGTCTGTAGGGTTGCTTTTCACTAAGTCAACGTTTCGTGATTTTCGACTAACTATATACCAATTATCATGGTATCACCTCCATTCTATCTATTTATAATGTGGCTTTGACAGTTTAAGTTTATGGAACAAAATAAACCGAAATTCTTATGATAAAACCAATGAATGTTTTGAAAGGGATGTCAGGAGTCAAAAACAACACAACACTCAACAAGATTTCTTCTTGTTTCAAAAATACCCATAGCGATTACACATGTGATTATACAGGACTGATGCAGAATTCGGTAAAAAAAAAAATAATATGTTCTCACTAGTAACTAGCTTAAAGATGTGTTTTTTGGAAGTTTGTAGTGACCTACTTTTACCAAGAGAACGTGATTGGTGTTATGGAAACAATTATTATTATTATAACCAATTGTACCACGGGTTGTTTTACTGTATTTGTTTGCTTAACTGTACCATACATACATTCTTCCATTGATTGTGACCTTACACGAATTCAGTTACGCTCAGTAACCACACTTGTACTCCTTTGGCACGATCTCGGTATTCTTTCGATACCACGAGATCGCCAACAAATACATCTCGACTACAGCCATCAACTGCCTTACGGGGGATGTTATCGGTTAACTGGCACGTAGTCTTCCTGTGGTGATGATCATAGTCAACCGCAACTCGACACCACACAACAAGTTCTAGTGAAAAGTTGTGACCAATCGATTAGAATTCATGTCGAGTGTGAGACAATCGATGAAAGGTTGCACAAGATTATGAATCCATTGAAGTTAGACATTAACATCGTTGAATGTCGACTCAGTGATCTACAAGTTAAATGTTAAATTTCAAAGACTCATTCTATTTATCTGTCAACTTAATACATCCGAATTAATACAGAATTCAATAGACACTATTTCAAACATTAAACTAATTTTAAAAAAATACTTTGATTCAACTTACTTTATTCTCATAAAAATCACCTAATATTCCATTGAATTGAATAATTGGTGTTTGATCAGATCCTAATTCAATGCCTTGTTTACCAGCTGTTACCACAGTAAATACAAGCCAATAGTGAAATTCATGTTTTGTTTTTATATTATCAGTAATATAATTTGAATTGTGAATAGATGATAAACATTGACGTTTGATTTGACTTGGTCCATCATTATCTTCATTGATGAAATTGTCAGAACATCTATGCTTACGATTTATATACATTTCAATAGTTTCATCTGAATGCTCTAAATGGGATAAATTCTCTGATTTGATCAAATTAACTGTATTATTCATGTTTGTCATATCTATTCCTTATATCTGATATGGAATATCACTTGGAATTCTGAAAGTAAGAAATCATCGAGTGAATGTTGAGAAATGAATAAAAATATGAAAATAAATATTATCTGAATGAAGAATAATACATAATAATTTACTTTAAAAAGAGTTTAGTTATCTAAGACATTCAGGAACTTCACATTTTTAAGTGATGCGGGAACTTTGAAAAACTGTAATTAACATGTGCTCATTAGTGACCAGCTTCGTGAGGGAATTCTCAGAGTTCTAGTGAGAAACCGCGACCAGTGGAGCTAATCCATGTCGGGTAGAGACAGGTGTCTACCTCAGTACAATGGAAGATGGTAGCGTAATTTCATGGACTAGTTGAATTTAGACACTATCATCATTGGATGCCGGCTCAGTGGTTCAGTTGGTTAAGCGTTCGCGCGCGAGACCGAAGGCCCTGGGTTCGAATCCCGCGAGGTGGGATCGTGGTTGTGCACTGCTGAGGAGTACCACGATAGGACGAAACGACCGTCCAGTGCTTCCAGGTTTTCAACGGTCGTCTAATATCAATCGGTTCATGACCTCAATCAATAACTGTTAATGTCCCAATCCTATAACAGATCAGTCTCATCCCTAAAGGTCCAATGGTAACATCTCATACTGGGAATCTGCGTAATCTGGTAGGGTATCATCATCTAGAGAGCTCCAGTTCTTTCATGGTCACATTATCATCTTGCTGTCTAGCGTTACATAACATGTGACCTAGGTCAAGATCTTCCTATCGGTAATCGACGAGACTATAATTTATGGACAATCTTAGAACGAAACTCAAGCGACCTAGAGAACTGTTAGCCAATCAGAAAACAGTACAAAGTAAAATTATATTATACAAAAGCATAGAATTAAGATGGATACACTTCTTTTAAATGGTTCAAAATTTGTTAAAGTTAGAAAGAGCTTTAGAGGTTTTAAAATCGTAATGCAATATAGTAGAGGAAATCATCAATATGGCTACCGAATAGTCGACCTCTGGAGCTATGATAAAGTCTCAAAAACCCTTTCAGCCTCGACTACATAGTCCTGATATTGTTTATGTGTACTTCGGCTGTTGAGTACACAAAATGCTACTTGTGGATAACGACACGATACACATAACCAAGCCTATGTAGGAGCCTGTACTCTCTCCAATCATCCGTATATATTGTAGTACCCGGCTGCATCCAGTGTTATTGGTGCTTTTATTATCCAGTTCGCAATAACTGTCATAATTTGCCTTATTCTCAATCTGGATCAAGCGAAAAAAATCCTATTCTAGCAGACCTTTTTCTCGAATACATATTACATTGAAGGACAACATCATCACAGTAGTCTGCACAAGGTCTACAACTCATTTGACTACCACAAACACAAATAAAGGAACTTCTTAGTAATCCCATTTGTTGCATCCACTCAGTTTTCACTTTTTCTCTAAAATCAGCTGTGAACCAGTTGTACGTGATCATCGGATGCTAAAATTGACACTGTGACCTAAAATTCCCTTAAAACGCCTCTAATTGTCTCGTCCATAAATTAGAATCTCGCCGTTATCTTTCAGGAGAAAAAAAACAATTAATACATCTACTGATTTTAGCGCATATCGAATACGTGATGAAACAAGTGTCCAGTACGTCTAGCTTTCAATAGTTCTTCAAATGAAGCTAGTCTATGATAAAGATTAACTTTATATTGACTAGATCTATAAAAAAAAACAATTAAACGGGAAACATCAATGCTTACTTAAATAATGGAAAAAAATGAGTTATTCGATCAAATATCATATCAATATGGAACGTTTCTTAAGTTCGAACCACGACTAATGTTAGTGGGAATTTATTTTGAATGGAATGATTGAACATTTATCCGTATTTCGGTAAAAAAAACCTGATCTCACTAGTGACTAGCTTCAAGATAGGTTTCTTTTTTGAAGTTCTAGTGAAAAGACGTGACCAATGGAGTCTAATTCATGTCGGCTGTGAGACAGTTATCCATCTTATACAATGTATGAAGGATTGTATGACATCATGAATCGATTGAAGTTAAACAATAACACCATTGAATGTCGGATCAACGTTCTACAACTTAAACGTTAGCGAGCAAAACCGAAGGTCTTGATGTTTGGAGTTCCACATGAAGGGTCGTAAATGTGCACTACCGAGTAGTCCCATACTAGAACTTAACAGTCTTTCAGTACTTCCATATTTTTATTAGTGGTCTAACTTTAATCAACTTATGAATTCAACTACAAAAAAAATAACTTTATTCAAATTTTAATCTGATCATGATTATGTTGGGATATTTCATGGTACACCAACCATAATCAAATACCTTTATTATTATTATTATTATTATTATTGTTATTATTATTATTATCAGCTTTATTCAATATTATATTTTTGGCACAACATAGAATTCTCAGCGCAAAGTATTTCAACAAGTTTCCGTTTCTTTCTTCTTGGTTGGTCCTGGCGATAAATATTGAGTGATCGCCAGCTAGTTGTTAACAGTCCAGTAAATGAACATCAGAATGATGTACATTCTTTTCGTTGTATATTGCCAGCAACCACATTGTCTCTTATTGAGTTTTTTGTAACTTTGACAACGAAAGGTTGTACACGTTTCAGAAACGCAGCAGAATACATCATGCGATTAATAAACATAATGATATATTAAAACAAACAAAGAAGCAGATAAATTGATGAAATATCTAGATGGCCGGAACAGGTAGCCCAGATGCTCAAGCAGGCCGCCCTTGTTGAATTGACGTGTAAAATATTTATGATCATTTCAACAAATTTTACTATTACGCATAATGCTGACTAGTGTTGGAAATGATTGACAGAAAGTTAGGGGGCGGCAACATCAAAACGAGGGCATCAGTCCTTCAAGTCACTAACTTCTGATGTGACCCATGTTGATAGATGCAGGCTACTTGGTTGGGGTCCTCATGACTATATATATAACATAATGATGAAAAGTAGATCATTATTATTATATTGCTGTTTCGTTTGTGCTTTTCTCTACTTTGTTTATTTTTCTCATTTTCAACAAATGACCTTATCAATTATGATTATTATCATTATCATTATAGTCAATTAAGAAACTTAATTTTTATTGTTTTCTATTCATTATTGATTTATTGATTAATCGATTATTACATAATGTTGATTAGTACTAAATAAGAACATAATAAATTAAAATGTGTCATTATAATCTATTTAAAAAATATTAGTGTATTCAAATAATTGATCGATCGATCGATCGATTGATTGATTGATTGATTGATTGATTGATTGATTGATTAATGTTAACATCAATATTATTCATCATCAATATCATTTCATCTATTTAAATGATACTGTAAAACAAAGCAAAATTGTATAATTTGTGCTAAAAACACTTGAAATTGAATCAAAATAAATGAAAGAATAATTTAATGTCAGAAGAGGTTTTGTGGGGCTAATCTGTGTCGGGTAGAGACAGGTATCTACTTCAGTAAAATGGAAGATGGTCGCGCAATTTCATGGATTGGTTGAGGTTAGATATTAACACCATTGGATACCAGCTGGTTCAGTGTTCTAGTAGGTTGAGTGTTCATGCGTGAGATTGAAAGCCCTGGGTTCGAATCCCACGAGTGGGATCGTGGATGCACATTGCTGAGGAGTCTCACAATAGAATGAAACGGCCGTTCATTGCATCCAGGTTTTCAATGGTGGTCTAACATCAATCGGTTCATGATTTCAATCAATAACTTAATAATCTCCACAACCCTATACTGATAATTACCATGTGCTCACTATTGACTAGCTTCGTGAGGAAATTCTCGAGTTTTATTGAGAAGCCGTGACCATTGGAGCTAATAAATCGGTTCATGATCTCAATCAATAATAATATAATAGTTGAATAGATGAGTTGATATAAACTAAATTATCATTTAAAACTTGATAGCATTAGACAACCATTTCCTACTACTATAGGATTCCTCAGCAGTGCGTATCCACTATTCCGCACGCGGGATTCAAACCGAGAACCTTCACTCTTGCTCACCAACACTTCACGTGTAAAGCACTACTGAGTCGGTATTCTTAAACAGTGTTAATATCTAACTTCAATCAATCTATAATTTTGCACAACCCTTCATCCATTGTCTCTGCAATATGATACCAATAAGTATACTGTCGTTCAGTATTTAAGTAATTTTAAGAGAACTGTACTCATCAAGTGTAAGACATAAGTATAAACTCATAAACGGAAACGGAGCTTCGAACATTTACTTAATCATAGATTACTTATCATTATTTATTTATTTAAACACAAATATTGGTACAAGGGGCACCAAATACATATGCGCCACATAAATGATTTGATTTGTGTGAGGACCATGATAATACCTGGGTAGCCAAACCGAAACACGTGGTTCTCTTAGAGGGGCACACCCAACTAGATTTAATCAAGCGGTAATCAATATTATTAGTCAAACAAAACTAAGTTACAAATATGTAATGAATAGGATAAGAACTAACTCCACCTGGAGTCCCTCCGGGGGTTACTGCCGGTCCCAAGCCCGTATAAAGGAGGAGGGTTGGGCATGGGGTTAGCGACCCCATCCCGTAGAAAGCTAACTCGCTAAAAAAAACGCTAACCAGAAAGTAAGTAAGTAAGGATCAGAGGTGAACACTCACACATGCTCATTTAAAAACAATCAAGGTTGATAAGTGAATAATTAACAATTTCAAAACGTGACTACTAAGAAGAATAGATAAACTGACTTGTCCAAAAGGTAGAATAAGGTAATATATGGGCTTAACATAATAACCAACACTATAGATTACCACCTACATGGTTCCTTTTTAAGAACTTCTATTACATATACATTTTGACTTGATTAGTTTATTTATTACTAGTATAGGGGTTGTGCAGATTATTAAGTTATTGATTGAGATCATGAATCGATTGATGTTAGACCACCTTTGGAAGCCTGAAAGCACTGGATGGTCGTTTCGTCCTATTGCGGGACTCTTC